GGCTGACTCTGAGAAGAATGGGAATCCCAGAACATTTAATCATGCTAATGCGAAACCTATACTTGGACCAAGAGGCAGTCGTCAGAACAGAGCAGGGTAACACTGCATGGTTCAAAATTGGGAAGGGTGTACGTCAGGGATGTGTCCTGTCTCCATACCTTTTCAAAACTTGAACTGCATTGCAATATTGATGTTCTTTAAAGTGAGAGACATTGTCAAGTAATTTAATCCAGAGATCAGTCACCACATTTGAAATGTCCATATATGTGTGTGTTTAGTGTTATTTGTTTGTTTCTTTTAAATCACCAAATCCTTTTTTTAAAGCTACTTTTTATTTGTGCCTCCTATTTATCAAGCTGATGTTAGAAGCAGCAGTCATCCAGCCACAGAGGGAGTTAAAGTTAACTAACCAGAACAGTAGAAATCATTATACATGCCTTGACAACAAAGGAAAAGGCCTATTGGCTTTTCCTCCACTATATACAGATTGGAGACAGATGAATATTTGCCAAATGAAAAAAAAAAAAAAGAAAAAGAATGCTAGTTAGGAAAGACGGAACTTTTCCAGCTTCTCAAAAGCCATGGAGAGTAGAAACCAAAACTAACAGGGAAACAAAAAACCTTGAAAGTGTCACTTTCTAATTGTTCTATGCAGGGGTTGAGATTTGACTCAAAGTGGAAAGTATCAATGGGTTTTTTAAGTCTTCACATCTGGAAAGAGATAACTTTCAATTTGATCTTTTGGATATTGGAGAAAGCTGCTAGTAAATTTAACCCCTGCCTAAAGAAAACATAATTTCATTTGGGAGCAAATACTTTAATGCCTTGAAAAGTAGCACTGTAATAGCCTATGATAATTAGTTGTAAAATAACCTTTGTCCCTTTCAAACTACGCAAATTATTAAACAAGTGTAAATTAGGATTCAACTAAAGATAGTTGATTATACTGCAATCAGATGGCATTCACAAACTTAACTGGGGCATATACAAATAAAATCTATTAGTCTAAGAGTTTTGTATGCTAACAAAACACATAATTTAGCTACCTATTCTAAAAATGTTGAATATATTAATATTGTATAATAGGACTGGGAAGACTGACTCCTTTTTTGAAGAGCGAGATTAAGGATTTTTATAATTATTTTTCATCAGAGTTTAATATTTTTGTCAAATTTTTAGGTATTTAATTTGTAAAACAGTTTGCTTTGTACTGGCATACAGAAAATAGGGTATCGATTTTAAACTTTTTGAAGCCAAGTGATCAAGGACATTTGTAATAAAAGTCAATGGATCTATAAAAAAATAGTTATGATGAAAAATAGTTATGATGTGTTCTGTGAAATAGGATGTTATGTGGTTTGGATGGCATATGAACCTCTCTGCTGAGGTGCAGGGCTCCTGGACACACTGGCCGGGGGGCAAATGTATCACAAGTGACCTGGGAAGCTCCAGCTGAAGATGCCTCAAGTGTTTGGCTGGGTCTCACCTAAATGTCACCTTCTCTGCTAAGCGAGCTACCAGGAGGACCAGCTTGCATGTGACAGTGTGACCAGGGAGGAGATAGTGCCAAGGGAGGTGATGACAGCTGGGCCAAGGCTGGGGTGCTGGAATGCATATCTTTCCTCTGGTGCCTTATGGGGCTACATGAGGAAATGCATAAACTGTCCCCATTTAGTCATGGGAGCCAGCAGTACTACGTTGGGCGTTTGGGCCTAGACCTCCTACTCAGACACCTGGGTACCCTGGTCCATGAGATGGAGACCTCAGGCAACACCTGTTGTCTGGGGTGGTCAAAGTTTGGCACTGTGTGCAGGGCAGACATGAGTTGGGGTCAACTCCCACCTGGGATCCTCATACTTATTTTACAATAACAGTTTTACATAGTACTTGTCCTTATGGGACTGAGTTAGTTCACTCAGCATTGTTCTCCAGTCCCTCTCAAGTTAGGTAGTAATTTATAAAATCATTGCTCTGCATGCTTCATAGTATGAATGTACCATCATTTCTCAATCCATTCGATTGTAGTTGGATATAAGGGCTGTTTCCATGTTCCTGCAAAGGTGAATGACGCTGCTATGAACACTGGTGTACAAGTCTCCGTTTGTGCCTCAGTTCTCACAGCACTGGTCTGTGTGTTGCTGTACAGAGGTAACTCATGTTGCTGTGATGCTGAACACTGTGACAGTGATGTGCCAATCGTGGTAATGGGCACCCATGGTGGACAGTGTTGGCTGGAGCTTCCTGACTAAATCAAACCTGGAAGCAGGAGCGGCATCCACTTCCGAAATGGCTTGCCTCTGGAAACTCTATGTATGAACAGTGCTCAGGCCGTTCGTTCATACGGTCGCTATAAGTTGTCTACGACTCGATGGCACCAAACAACAAAAAAAACAACATATTCCAAGCAGTGGAACAGCTGGGTCATATGGAATTTCTCTGTTGCTGAATCATTCTTGTGCATACCACAAACAAGTCTATTTTTCCCTCTGGAAAACTCTTAATAGAAAAGAATCTGAGGGTTATAAAGCTGTAAGACAGCCTATAAGCAGAGGAGCTAAAATCTGTTTCCTAGATCTGATTTTGGCTGTCCGTAATTCACCTTCAAGGAATTCCCTGAGTTGAATTCCAGTGAGATGGTGAAAATACTGGACGGGTAGTGATGATATTACTGGCTGGTTGCAGAGAGACTTCTTCAAGGTTTCCTCAGCATCCCAGGGAGAATCCAGAGTATGGCAGGGACTGTGTTGTGTGGAGCGAAGAGGAAAGAGCTGTGGTATTGGCTGAGAGGAAAGCAGGTCACAAGAACCTAGGTAATCCTAAAGACAACAGAGGAACAGCTGTCTTTACTGAAGAGATAGTGGTGAGTATTAGGGGAAAGAGGAGTTCTAATTTGTCTGTCTTGCTCCACTGTTTTGTGGCAACGGTGCAAACGAGGCAGATTAGAATTAGCTGTCATAAAGACTCTGCCATGTTTAATAAAGTTAAAATTGAGAGAACATCTTTATAAAATAGAATTCTAAGTCTAACACATTAATGGTGCTTAATGAACCCAAACTGAGCAAATCCCTTTGGAGAACCAACACATAAACAAAGCTCTTAATTAGGTCACAGTCGTTTCCCAACAAGGCTTTTGTTTGATTTACTTACAGTAAACAAAACCATACCCATCCGTCTTTGTGGAGAAGTATTCACCAGTGCAACAGAATGTAATTATTACACCTTAAGCACTTGCAATTACATGACTTTATGAGGACAATATTGTTGGTGATGCCTCTTGTTCAGTAGCATCTGCCACTTCTCCAGGCCTCTCCCTGGGCCTGGCTGCCGACCTTCAGCAGTATTAGGTTATGCACTGACTGGTCTTTATGTCCTTAAAGCTTTCAAATATCACTTAAGACAAACCCAGTTGCTGGCAAGTCAACACTGCCTTACAATGGTCCTAAAGGACAGAGGAGAACTGCCCTCTGCGATTTCCAGGCTGAAAACCTTTACAGCAAATCTTTACATAGGCTGACTGCCACATCTTTCTTCACACACCAGGTGGTGAGTTCGAACCACCAGTCTTGTAGTTAGCAAGCACTGCATTACTAAGGCTCTTTTAAAAATCACTTAACACACAAAAAAAATCAGGTGTTATCTAGAAATAGGCATTTCTAAAGCAAGCAGGGGCAAAAATCTCTTTATGGGGTGGAATGATATATATTGCACTGAAACAGATAAGGGGGAGAACTGTTTAAAAGGACTATATGAATGGTTATTCTTGTCATTACAGAAGTCCAGAGTGAAGGCTGCACAGTGGAGTGGACTTGGTGTGTGTGTGGGGGGATTGCATAACAATAAGAGTTTTTCTTTTTCTTTTCAAAGGAGAAGAGTGATTTGGTGGGGGGGCGGAGTGGGCAGGGAGAAAAGTGCAACAATGAATGACTGGAAACCCTTAAGTCTCTGTAAACTTTCATTAATAAAATAAAACACAATAAAATTAAAAAACCCCCAAACAAAAAAAACAATAATCAAATAAAAAACAATAGGTCATAAAAAACAAACAAACTAAAAAAAATCTCTTTACTCATAAGGACACTGAGAGTTTTTCCAACTAGATGTTACATAACAACCAAGTGCCCACAGGGAGCTCTGGTGGTCTAGTGAAGAAAGAGTTGTGCTGCCAACCCTAAGTCAGGTAGTTTGAACCCACCAGCAATCGTCTCCCTCCCGCCTCTGGAAAAGCTGCCAGAGGGGCAGCTATGACCTGGTTCTAAATCGGTAAATAATTTTAAGATCCACTCATTATTATCACCTCACTGGGGACTTACAAGAACCTTTCATTGCGTTTCTGGGGCAGTAAATCTTTTCAGGAGGAGATTGTACATCTTTATCCCTGCTATAGGATTTGAACTGCTGACATTCTTGTTATCAGTCAAGTCCATAACCACCAAGCGCCCCCAAGAACTCCTTTTAGTTAAGTGGTACATAGTTTAAAGGAAGTTGCTCGATGCTATCATACCAAGAAAACAAACATAAATTTACATTGCAAACAAATATTTTATATTGGAAGGGGCACCAGAGATCAAGCCGACTCTCTGGGGACAGCAAGTGCCCAGCTGGTACACTGTGTGCACTGTGGTGTGGGATGCCCAGCAGGGTCTCTATGAGCCATGCTCACAAGGCAACCGGTCAGGTTCAGCCAACAGGCAGCACAAGGCAGAGGAGTGAGGATGTGATGAGCAGTGAATGCAGTTCACGTCTATATTCTGTTCCTGACGTGGGTCTGCCCAGGCTGGGGCTCTGTGCTGCAGCCGCCTCTGTCTTCTAGCCCATCAGAACCAGTCACATCTGACTCCCTCATGCGCATCACCAGCAGCTGCACAGAGCCCCCCTCGGGGTTCAGGCCCAAGCTCTTTGACTCCTCTTCCTCCGTTTCACAGCTCACTGTTCTCCTTAGCTCTTTCTGCGCTGCGACTCTATGAAACAGATCTTTACATTAAATCATCTTGGCTGAAATCGGTTCCGTTTTTCTGACCAAGTCCTTCCTGAAAATGATTTGTGGTGAATCTTCCAATTTCCTCCCTTCTGACAACACATCCCAAGAACCTTCCCGCAGCTGACACACTGCAGGCTGTTATCACACGCTCTCCTCCTGGTGGCTTAAATGAGGCTAATTGTTTAATTAAGGAAATGCAAAATGCCGAGACAATGGGCATCTGGAGGAAGTGGGGGGAGGGAATGAGGATCTCCCACCCTCTGAAGGATCACCTTCTCAGATGCTACTTATGCTGGACTTGGACTACTTTCAGGGCTGGTCATCTCAAAAAAAAATGACAATTGCAATAAACTTTTAATTGCATTTTAAAAGCAAAGAGATGTAACAGAGACGTTATTTAAGAGAGCTGAACGCATAGTTAAGGACTCGAGTTACTGTCAGGAGTAAAAGAGAAACCAACAGGAATTTCATTTACTGGGGATTTGTAGGGAGGTTTATGAGAAAGGATTAAGCATTTGTTAGCTTAAGCAGCCTTCACTTTGTTAAAACACTCAGTAAACATAAAATTTGTCACCAAATAAATTAATTTCCCGCTTATATTTAGGGAACTCAAGCTACTTTGCCTCACGGAGAGGACAGAACTGATATTTTCAAGTCAAAAGTGCTCAGTTCAACTGAACAAATAATTGACAACAGACATCAAGCCACTAAAGGCAGCAGTTGTTGTTTCCTGTTGATAATTGTCCAGATTTCACCTAATGATTGAGGGAGAAGTAAAATGAAAGAGATTAAACAGCAAGAAAGAAAAATTGAGTCTGAACGTATGAGCACGCCTAAGCCAGAGAAGCCCAGAGAAGCCCTTACCATGATCTTGTCACTGTCGATAATGGTGTTCAAGCGGTGAGCGATGGTGAGCACGGTGCAATGGGCAAATTCCTCACGGATCTTTTTTTGGATCAACTCATCAGTTCTGGAATCAAACCAGGGGAACTCAGGTTAGTACACTTGTTGTTGTTATGTGCCGTCAAGTCGCTTGCGACTCATAGCGACCCTGTGTACAACAGCCCTAAACTCTGCTCTGTCTTGTGCCAATCGCACTGTCTCTGACACTCCCATCCCGATTATCCCAGTCACTGAATCAATCCACCTCATAGAGGGCCTTCCCCTCCTGTGCTGTCCCTCTACTCTACCCAGCATGATGTCCCTCTCCAAGGACCGGTCTCTCCTCACAACATGTCCAAAGTATGTTAGATGGAGCCTCAGAATCCTTGCCTCCAAGGAGCAGCCCCATTTGACCCTTTCCAGGATGAATCTGTTTGTTTTCCTAGCAGTCTATGGTACCCTCAATACTCTTCTCCAACACCACAGCTCAAAGGCATCAATTCTCCTTCTATCCTCCTTAGTCACTGTCCAACTCTGATGCATAACAAGTGATAGCAAAGACCATGGTACACTAGAGAGTCAAAAACCAAATTAAGACCTAAAAGTAGATATAATATTTTAAGAATGAAAAAGTTTTTCTTTTTCTTTTCAAGGAGAAGAGTGATTTGCGGGGTGGTGGGTGGGCAGGGAGAAAAGTGCAACAATGAATGACTGGAAATCCTTAGTCCCTGTAAATTTTCATTAAAATTAATAAATTTAAAAAATTAATAAATTTAAAAAAAGACAAATACAACAACAACAAAAATTTACAGCCATGGAAACCCAGGGAAGGGTAGCCAGAAGTTGGAATCCATTTTTACAAAATATCTTTTGTGATCCTCTACACTAATATACTGCTGATGCTCAAAAGTAATAAAATAATAATTAAAAGATAAAAACAGAATGCTTTTGAAAAGCCAATACTTTGAGATAAAAAGTGTAAAGAAAGTCTACTTAGAAATTTTACCCAATTCTCAATTGAGTTGGAAATGACTTTTTCCCCACCTCGAAACTACACAAAACCACCAGGAGAGAAAATCAGTAATCTGGTCCTTTTAATCAAGGCCAATACAATACAATCTCAATATGTTCTATCTTCTCTGTTTTCTAGATTAATACTCTTTAGAAACATTTCTAAGCACCATTAAATGTTTCCTATTTGCCACATTGAAATTCCCGCTTCAATGTCACAAAGACCCCGACTCTGTACCTGGGATCCACATTGGCTGTGGCTTCATCAATTATCAATATCCGATTTTTCTTGAGAATAGCTCTGGCAAGACACACCAACTGTCTCTGTCCAACGCTAAAATTGGATCCTGATTCTGCCAGTTCAGTGTCCATTTTCGCAGGTAGATCTTCTATGGCTTCTTTAAGTTGTACCTATAGACGGAGCAAGGAGAGTCACAACTTGCTAAACCAACGTTTACTGACGCAGGCAGGCCTCCGAGCCGTCCCAGCTCTGAGGTATTATCAGCTTCCTTTGGGGAGACGTGACTCGTGTGTACAATTCCGAGCACTGCACCTAATTCATGTTCATGAGAAAAGGGGCACGGCCAGCTTAGGACAGAGACAGGCTTAAGAGAAAAACGTCACGGGAACCAAGATGTGTCCTTGTTGCCTTCAGGAAGCACAAGTCATTCTCCTTGGACGACAGGCCAACGTTATCTGTGCTCGTTTCATTATGAAGCATGCTGCTGTGTCCCGTAGAGTCAGAACCGACCCACCGCAGACCCACTGGCGGTTTTCAGAGCCAGTTACTCGCACGGGAGGAGACTGACCATCCTTTCCCTGCAGAGTGGCCAGTGGCCTCGAACTGCGTGCTTTTGGGATAAAGAGGTAAGTTTTTTTGAAAAAATTTAGTCAGGAACTTTAAGAATTGACAGAGACAAAAAAAGCAGAGCAGTGGTCGTCTGGAATCAGAGGATGAACTGAGAACAGAGTGGGGGAACTCAGAGATAAGAGAAATGCTCTAAAACCAGATTGTGCTGAAGACTGTACAATTCCACAACTTTACTAAAACTACGGAAATTTACACTCACCATGGATTAATTTCCTAGTGTTTACATTCTACCTCAATAGAAGGCTTTCATGTTGCTTGTGTTTTGGTTTTTTGTTTTGTTTTTAAACAAATCAACAACAAAAACCCCAAAGAGCTCAGTTCTCTTCATCACCTAAGTCCCATTTCTACCGGATGACGTCCACCAAGACCCCTGCCTCACATTGTGACACTGGGGAGCTGAAGTCTCTCAGTTATGAACCCATTTCTCCCAATCTCTGCAAAAAACTGAAAATAATCCTTATGGTTGGGCCCCGTTTCCCAAAGTACTTTTGACACAAGAACAATTACACCAGAGAGAAAAGGAAAAATGAAATTTCCTGAGGAAGTGTGGTCCTCCAGAGAGAGAATGTGGCTATCATCCTGCCCTGTAGGTAGGTTTTCGTAAACTGAAAAGGCTAAATGCTATTTTAAACAGTGGCAAACTCTATATTAATAAGCTAGGAGCATATTTTGGGAATGGTTACATCCAAAACACAAATGAGAAGGGCCAGCCAAGTGCGTTTACTTCAATCTCATAAAATGTCTGGCAGTGGATGAAAAATTATAAAAACATCGGCACAGCGGAGCATCTTACTGACCCCAGGCTGTGAGGACAAACGGTGTTTATCGTCTACCTTCATAAAATTGTAGTTGTAAGCAGGAGGGAAACCTCTTAACTGCCAGAGGTGACCACAGACTATGCTGGATGGCGGTTCAGTTCAATGGCTATTTGTTTTGGAGAAGTCTGAGAGAACAGAGCCAAATCCATCTATACTTAAGAACCACAGAAGAAGAACAAAGAGCTCATCAAATTAAGAAATCAACAGGTTGATGAATAATGGACAATAAGCTGTCACATGAAATTACAGTGTCAACCACAGAAAACCGAAGATAAACACCGGCAAAATGTGCCGCAAGATGATGAAGCATTTCAATGAATGTGAGTTCCTGACTTGCGCTCATTAGGGCAACTCAGTGTATTAAAAAAACGTCAACTCTGAGTTAGGATTCTAACCACGTGCCTTGGGACTGGCAGTGCAACTCCTTTCCACGAAGCCACACGAGCTCTCTTTAAGTGGGGATTAAATGTGGGGCTGGTGTTTAGCATTCACACAAAGACCAGGTAGGAGGTTCCCCAAAACCAGAGCAAGATCTGGATTGCTGCACCAACAATTATAGCACAGAACATACCACGCAGGCCAAGTTTCTTCATTCTAAGGAAGAGGGCTGCCTGTGGCTTTAGCTTGTGAAAGATTCACAAGTCTCAACTCCAGATGATGAAGGATTAACAAACATGAAAGTCACAATGCTGTTACCAGCTCCTGTCAAGTATGGAAATTCCTATGTGTGTAGAGCTGAGGGTCAGAGTGGAGGGTATCGTACTATTCCTTCAACTGCCACAAGATATGAAACTTTCAAAAGACCAAAATGAAGGGATGAGGAGGCCTGAAGCCAGATAGTCTGGAATTGAAATCGGTCCAGATCTGCCACCCTAAACGTTCCTGAACTTTCTCTATCTCGGCTTTCTAGCCTGTGAAGGAAAGGAGAATGATAAAGGTGTCTAATCCCCCAGTAGTGGGGATATACCAAAAGCATAAAGAAAGGAGTCCTGAGTGCTTAACCATTTCGTCACCCGGACTTCCGTTATCCTTGCTAACCCACCAGAAGCTCGAATGAGAAAAACAACCTGGCAGTTTGCTTCTGTAAAAATAAACCTTGGAAACTGCATGGCAGATCTACTCTGATGTGCTGGGGCATTAGGAGTTACTAGTGCTGAATTTAAAACAATGGGCTTTTTGTTTATGCTTGTTTTATACACAAAGAACTTGATACAAAGTAAGAGATCAATAGATACAGCCTATCACCAATAATATTATAGCCAAACTCTGTTCATCTTCTGCTTCTATTTTCTTGATTGCATTTATACTTGGACCAAGAAGCAGCCCTCAGAACAAAGCAAGGCAACACTGCATGGTTTAAAATTAGGGAAGGAGTGTGTCAGGGATGCGTCCCATCTCCATACCTTTTCAATCTGTAGGCTGAATAGATCATTTGGGAGGCTGGGCTTTAAGCAGAGGAGCATAGCAACAGGATTGGAGGAAGACTCAACAACAACCTGCGATATGCAGATGATATAACCTTGCTTGCCAAAACTGAAGAGGATGTGAAGCATTTGCTGCAGAAGGTGAAGGACTGTATTATTCAATATAGAATGAAGCTCAACGTCAAGAAGGCAAAGACTCTCACCACTGGGTCAACTGGCAGCACATGACAGATGGAGAAGAGACTGATGTTAACAATTTCAGCTTGCTCAGCTCCACAGTCAACACCCTTGGCACCAATAGTTGGTAAATCAAAAGATGAATTGCACTGGGAAAGTCTGTTTCCGGGGACTGCTTCAGAGTGCTGAGGAGCAATGATGTCACTCTAAAGACAAAGGTGCACCTGATTCAGGCCATGGTCTTCACAATTACATATTATGCATCAGAGCTGCACAATGACTAAGGATGAAAGAAGAATTGATGCCTTTGAGTTGTGGTGCTGAAGAAGAGTCTTTTTTTTTTAAATTATTTTTTTTGTGTGTGCATGTACTGTCAAATCAGATCTGACTGGTACAGGAGATTGTCCCTCCTTCCCCGGCAGATCATCTGGTGGGTTCGAACAGTGCACATCTGGGATTGTAGTTGCTGTTCCTTGCCACTAGGCCACCAGAGCTCCCCTGAAGAAGAGTCTTGAACCACGGTCCAGCAGGAGAACAAATAGGTCTGTCTTGGAGAGGGTGAAACCAAGTTTCTCCTTGGAGGCAAGGCTTCTGAAGTTCATGTACTTTTGAGCACATGCCCAGAAGAGACTAGTCCTTGGAGAAGGACATCATACTAGGAAGGGTAGAGGGACAGCAGAGGAGAGGAAGACCCTGGATAAGATGGATTGATACAGGGGTAATGGGGGTTAGGTGTATCGGAGTCAGTGAGACTGGATCAGGACAGGGCAGGCTTCAAGAGCTGTTGGACACAGAGTGGCTATGAGTCACAGGCGACTCAACAGCATATAACAAAAACAACTAGGATCTTACAATATGTTATATAATCATTTGCTTATTTTCTATCTCCCATCCTATAATGTAAGATCCAAGAAGGGTTCGGGCTCTGTGTCTGGTATAAATTGCTGCAGCATCAGTACTTAGAACAAGCGCTATGTAGACAGCTCTCAACAAGTATACGTTGAAAGCATAAATGAAACCACAAATGTGACTGTCTCTATAAATTGAAAAAGAAATCAATGCATAACTTACATGAAACACCATTTTTTTAAATTAATGTTGTAATCAAAGAACTCTACCACTTATAAAAACGACTTGGTTCTATGATTCCGTAAGATTATATTTTAAAATGTGCAAAATACTTAAAAATTGTCTAATTTCAGGAAAACAGATTGAATAAAAGTATTCACAACCATATTTTCAGTACAAAGCATTTCTAACAGAAAAGCAAGAAATTTCTGACCAAAAAAAGAACAAATGGATATGTCTTGGAGAAAATACAGCCAGAGTGCTCCTTTGAGACAAAGATGACAGCTTCAACTCAAATGCTTCGAGCATGTTGTTAGGAGAGGCTATTCATTAGAGGGGCATCATACTTGGACAGGTGGAGGGTCAGCAAAAGAGAGAAAGACCAGATGGACTGAAAAACAGTGACTGCTGTAATGCACTGAAGCATGTCAGAAATGATCACGATGGCATAGGACAGAATTCAGATACACGAAGTCCTTTTCTAAGGAAAAAACTTGTCCGAACACCATTCCTAAGGTATGAGAAACAAACCTTTGTCATCTTTGCCTCTGAGGCTGCACTTTTTCAAGATACATCTGTTTGTTCTTTCGGAATTCATGGGATATTCAGTACTCTTCTCCAACACCACAGCTCAAAGGCTGAATCAGGTGTACCTTAGTTCTCACATGCCATCACTGCTCCTTAGTAATTTGGACAGGGCCCCTTCTTCAGACTTTCCCAAAGCAATACAGCTCCTGATCTGCTGGTATCAGGATGTTAATTGTGGGTCAAAATAAGATGAAGTTGTTGGTGATTTTTGCAATGATGCTGCCTATTGGTTCAGAGGTAAGAATTTTTGTTTTCTTGATTTTGAGATGTAGTCTATATTGGAGGCTTTAGTCTTTGAATGTGCAGCAAGAGATTCAAGTTCCCCTCACTTCCAGCAAGCAAGGTTGTGTCATCTCCATATGGTAGATTGTTGATGAGTATTCCACTGATTCTGATGCCACATTCTCCTTCATAGAGTCCAGCTTCCTGAATGATCTGCTTAGCATATCGATTAAATAGGTATGGAGATATGATACAAGCCTGACACACACCCTTCTTAATTTTAAACCATGCAGTGTTCCCTTGCTCTGTTCACACACAGATTCTTGGTCTAGGAATAGGTTTTGCAAGAGCACAATCAAATGTTCGGGAATTCCCAACTCTTCTCAAAGTTAGCCATAATTTGTGATGATCGACACAGTCAAATGCCTTTACATAGTTAATAAAATACAAACACACATTTTTTTTCTGGTATACTGTGATTTCAGCCATGGTCCATCTGACATCAGCAATGATATTCCTGAGGCTGTGGCCTCTTTTAAACCCAGTTTGAACTTCTGGCAGTTCTCGGCCAATTCTGTCATGCTGTTGGAACTTGTGAGACGCATAATTTCAATCATCATAGACGCCTTCATGGAGCCTCTTGTGGGCACTGGACCTGCTGAGTGCCAAGACCCCACACAGGGGATCCACACTGAGTGTCATGTTATTTCCACAGTTTACAAACATCTTTACTTTTAGAATAAAAACATCTTCGCTTTTAGAATAAAAGGGAAAGGCTGACAGGACGTGAGGAAAATAACAAGAGATGTTAAAAAGCAAGCAAGAGCAAATCAAGGAGTGGGAAAGAGCTCTTCCTAGAACAAAGGAGACAGTAAATAAAGTTTAAAGAGGATGCTCACATGGTCTAAGCGACATGGACATATGGTGCATCATGGAAGTAGTGGCCATGTTTCCTGATAGATATATAGCTAAATTCAGACATCTATGTTTTGATTTGCTGTATAATGAGACACAGTTGTTTTCTAATAGAAATACTATCAGTGTTGAACCCAACTGGATGACCTCTTCTCAAATCTGACTTGACACACTGTACTTAGTATATGTATCTCAATATAGTATTTATGCTGCTTATTACCTCTACATACCCCAATATACTAAGGGAAAGGGAAATCTGTAAACATACGGCAGATCCAGTTTTAGAATTGTATTTTTCATTCACATTCTGCTTCATATGATTGTTTTCATACATTGCGTCTTATAAAACGAATCACCACTGATTTATGCCTACTGTCTTCTCTCATCTGCCGAGATCTCGTGGCACGTCACTGACAGGCTTCTTCATCTACAGTCAATACCATCCCTACATTTACAGAGAGCTATTTTTGCTTCGTAGCTATCCCAGATGCCCTAATTCCAAATGAAGTTTCTTCCGTTCACTTTTTTAAGGATTAGTAGTAACTTTGAGTATATTTTAGAAAGAACTGAGATGGAAAACACTGATAGGCCCACCTGTTTTTGTCTTTTTTTTTTTTAATAGAGATTTTAATGAAAATTTATAGAGAACTTGGATTTCCATTCATTCATTGTTACACATTTTCACTGCTATCTCTGAACTACTCACTCAGGGAGGTACAAACAAGAGGACCTTTCAAAAGAAACATTGGGAGCTCTGGTGGCCTAGTGGCAAGAAGTCGCACTGCAATCGCAGAAGTACGTGGTTTGAATCCACCAGATGCTCTGCTGGAGAAGGAGGGGCAATCTCCTCCTGTACCAGTCAGATCTGATTTGACGGTACACACAGAAAAAATAATAAAATCAAATTTAAAAAAAAATAAACATCATCCATTTGTCGAAGAAGACTGTGAACTCTGAAATAACTGCACGTCAAAAGGAGGAAAGTGAAAGCAAAATAAAACAAAGCAAAACATCATTTCTCTTTTATTTGAAGTTGTTAAAGAATGCAAAGCAAAAAAAGCAGTGTTCTCTTAAAGAATCTCAATTCCTCCCTATGAATTGGACTCCCATTTCCGAAGTGGCATCATCTGTAAATCAAATTTAGTTAGGCTTTCCGGTCTACGTAGAAGGGGCTGCCATGAGAAGAGGGCTACTATTAAGTGCCAAAGAGCAGATTATGGAATGCTGGTAGTTTGGGGATACAACGGAACTGGCAGATGGGCCAATATAACAGGTAAAATCCAGAGGAACTAGACTAGCACTGAACTTAGAGGTAGAGTTCTTTGTATGGCTTCACCCCAGATAAAACATAAGATACTCATATCTGAACATGAGTATTCATATTTTATTTTCATTTACATAAAGTAACAAGTACTTTAAACATAAGTAAATAAAAGTATATTACCTACCATTCCACAACCTCATTAGTTTTAGAATTCTAAGGGGGCTATACCATTTTTTATTTTTATCTTAGCCACTAGAGATGAGATACGGGGAAGTTACAGACAAGTCCTAAGAGACTCGTTGACAGGACTGTCTCTGAATAGTCTATGGAAAAATACATTTCTATAGAGTAATTTTTCTGAGTGTTGATGCTTTCTTAAGCTCTGAGACTAAAAGAAAAAGAGTGGCCAGTCACTCCTGGTCCCTGAAGGTGTGCCACGATTTTACTACTCCCTTTACCACGTGAGCTCCGGGGCAGGGGATCACCACGTGAAGGGTAACTGGTCTCCCTCAGAATCTCCCTGGAGAAGGACTCATAATCACTACCTAAGGAAAAGATAGTGTACCAGTCAATCCAGCACAGGAAACAAAATCCCCCAAGTCGCTGCAAAGCAAGGTGGACGTGTGAAGACCAAGATCTGACACTCCTCTCAGAAAACAAGAATTCAAGGCAGCAAATTGACAGTCCTCCAATTCCGATGCTCACAGTTAAAGCTCATCATATATAAACGAAAGGCTTCAGTGCTAACCCTGGACAGGGGGTTCACTAAGTGACAAACACACCTATTCAAAACCACCCGAATGAGGAGTCACTGCTGAGACGGGGGAGGTTTTTTGGTTAAAAAAAAAAAAGGAGTAAGCCACACTCCTGGGAAGGAAGAGGTCAACGAGCCATTGGTATTCATTCAAAACTTTAGTATAACTACACCACTGAACTAGGTCCGAGGAGCGACTAGAAGTCTAAAATATGGTTTCTATCAGTAAGTGGTTTAGAATTAATTTGCAGAACCAGGAGGAGTAAACAATGTAATTAGTGTTAAAATATATAAACCAACAGCCCTTTAAGAGTCAAAATCCTTCTCACTCAAAGAAGTGGTCAAGCAAGAGAGTATCTCTGAGAAGCACACGTAGCCGTATCAAAGGCAAGCAAAACTGTCAAGGTTCTGTTACCTGCTCCGTGTTCTGCTGCCTTAAAAATTACATGTTTGCCAATACACTATGCATAATTATATTCCAAGTATGTAATTTACATTTATAAACACTTCTGCATAAAACTTCAAAGTGTTTCCTACGCATGATCTCACTGATCTTTTGGGTAGTAATGAAAAACGATTACAGTCTCTGCTTAATAGAAGCTCCCTCGGAAGAGAGCAGTAAAGTGAATTCTGCAGGATAACTAGTCACTCGCAGAATCTGAACCCGTAAGAAAACCGAACCCATACACTCCAAGTTTAACGCTCTGCTGATGACAATAACATCATGCATCTAATTGTTTCAGAATTCCAGAAAGAAAGGGAAAAAAAAAGGAAAACTGAGTCATTTTCTTGTTGGTTTTGAAAAGCATCAGTATGTCCATTTTAAGTACATTCATGTAAATCAATGTTTTCCTGGGTGGCAAAGTCAGCTCAACCAATAAACTCCCCTTAATTACCTGCAATGTTGTAAATGCACATACACATATACTGACGCTAACAAATTAAAGATAATTACATTCTAGAAATTACCTCTTTTAAAGCATTCCACAGTTCTTCATCCGTGTGTTCATTAAAAGGATCCAGGTTTTTTCTCATTGTTCCAGTGAATAACACAGGTTCCTAAATATTCCAAAATAGTGAATATTAATTACCATGGCACCTTTTCACGCCCATTCCCCAAACGCTACAGTTTGAAACAGAATCCAAATAAATCATTACTACCATCATTATTTTTAAGTTGCAAAGAGTTGGTCATGAAATAATTTCTCTACTACTTTTCTACCAAAGTCAGCTTTAAGCTACCCTCCAGGCCATGAAGGAGTAAAAAGAAGTATCAACTGGGTCATCTAAATGCACAACGAAGAAAGAACAAGAAAAGTGTGATTTTTTAAAAAATCTTCCTGGTAGTATTTGCTTACACAGAAAAAAAAGAGGATACTTATTATCTGAGGAACTTTGTTTCAAGAGAGCTATGCATGGGATGCTGGAATATACCAAAAGCAAGACTGTTTTCAAAGATTGTGCCTCAAAGACAAATTGTTATGTATGTTCACATTTGCACAGAAGAATCTGCGGGTGGCCCCAAAGGGTTTGCTCTTGATTACAGAACAGAGGTCCTGGCAATCTGCTTCCGAGAAGATTATGGTCAAGAAAACTCATGGAGCAATTCTGCTCCGTAACACTGAAGAGTAAACAAGGGTATTTTTTCGGCTGTGTCTGAGAGTGGTCTCACATGTACAAATGAGATGTCTTATTATTTGGGCTTACTGAGAAGTGCAGTAATGGACTGTGTGGCACCTTGATTCATAAAGGGACAACATCTGATTCTTCATGAGCTAATATCTGCATAATCTGCACCGTACGTCAAGAGTTACATGGCTTACAGAACCTTGGTAGTAACCACAGGGGCAGGATAACCTGAAATTTATTGTGAAGAGTGTCCTAAGAGGATTATTTAAATGGCTCATTTTACTCTTCTGCGGAAGGAGGCGCCAGCAAATATTCTTAAAGTATATGCCTTCTTCTGGACTCCAAAAAAATAATCTTGAACATAAGCATATGTACACCCTGTAAAAGTCGTCTTCTGAAAGGTGCTAGGTAGTTAGCCAGACAGTTAAAAGAAAAAGTTCATTAATGCACAACAATGAAGGTGACAGAACAGTGGAACAGACTGTTGGAACAGACTGCAGGTACTTCAGGATCCCCAAGGGAGCTCATCAGCCTTGAGTCTTCCCTGGCTTTGGAGGGGAAAACCTTGAGAAGTAAGATGAAGAAGGCAGACTTTGCTTTAGCCATGAAGAGAAATACCAGCAGCTTTTAGGATTCCCAAAGAACTGGATGTGGAAAACAAAAAAGTACATATTCGCTAAGCAAACCGCTGAATTAAAGACACTAAAATGGGCATGTGAACTGCAATAAGCTGTTAAATGTACAGAAGGCATATAAAATCATTAGTCAAATGGTATCAGAATTATTTCCAAATTGAACTGAAAAAGTACTAAGAGCCAAAGATAAGGTTAAAAGCTTAAGTATGGAACTCAAGACTGGTGTTTAACCAACCAGTGGCAGGGAATTCCTTTTCATGGGTATAATTATCATTTTACTTAGTTCAAGTGTTTCTCTGCAAATATCTATTCTATTCTTTGTAATTATCAACTCTAGGGTTCCGACAAGCAAGGTAAGTTCCCTTCTTTTAAGGCAGGGGGACAGAAACAGTGTGGCAGGTACCCATCATACTTCACTCTTCTGGTCCTCCTTCCACCTCACCATATATGTACTCCACTCACAGGCCCACACTGAGACTCACGGCTGGGTTTTAAGGAAAACAAGAAGCTGATTAAGGGCAAGTTAAGAAATCAGCTTTTAGTTCACTTGGTGGACTCTTTACTTGCATTAAAAGAAGACCATTTCCCTATCCACATTGTTAACTGCGTACACACGAGTTGGAACCAACTCATAGCTAGCCTTCCAGCAGGTTTTCAGAGGCAGTTAAAAATAGCATGGGTGGAGAATCTCCATCTTTCTTCAAAGGAGTGACTGTTGGATTCAAACCGTGTACTTTTGTATTGGCAACACAATTTCTTAGCACTAAGCCACCCACCCATAGTAACTTACATTTCCTGAATTAAAAAAAAAAAAAATCAGACATCTCTCTTACAACACAATTCTATCAAATAATAAGTCTGAGTTTTGATAAAGTATCTACTTAGGTTTTCAAAGTATAACCCAGAGAGATGTTCTCTTAAATTGTTGTTGTATGCTGTGAAGTAGGCACTGACTCACAGCTGACCCTCCAGTGGGTTTTCAAAGCAGTAAATTGTACAGGAGGACACTGCCCATTCTTCTATCACAAAGCAGGTAGTATATTCGAACTATGTGCCTTTGGAATTGCAGAACAGTTTCGTACCACTAAGCTACCAGAATTTATCTCCAAAAATTTGTTTTGCCTTTTAAAACAGACTTATCCGGGAGCTCTGGTGGCCTAGTGGCAAGACACTGCACTGCAATCCCAGAGGTACGCGGTTCAAATCCACCAGATGCTCTGCTGGAGGAGGGGGTAATCTCCTCCTGTACCAGTCAGATCTGATTTGACGGTACACGTAGAAATAATACAATAAAAATAAAAAAAAATAAAACAACAAAAAAACAGACTTATCTTCCTCTGTTACTGTGGGAACAGTGGTTTTCATAGTTCAAAAATACAGGCACAGAAACACACATTTGAACCAAATCACTTATTTCATAAACCAGGGATCTTTTCTCACTTGACTGTGACTTTCCACTCTGTCGGATATTCCTTGAAATGACAAATTCCCCAAAGATTTGGGGAACTAAATGATCTTCCATGTAGAATGTGAGCTGCATTTGTCTGAACCCCTGAAAAATCCTGTTGTTGCTCTGTTGTGATTCAATAAGTGCCTTAAATACTCTGCATTGAGGAAGTTTGGTTAATTATCACCAAATCATCATATCATAAAAAGGGAAAAAAGGGAGCTCTGGTGGCCTAGTGGCAAGCAGCTACAACTACAATCCCAGAGGCGCACGGTTCAAATCCACCAGATGCTCTGCCGAGGAAGGAGGGACAATCTCCTCCTGTACCAGTCAGATCTGATTTGATGGTACATTCACACACAGACACACACAAAAAAAAAAAAAAGGAAAAAAAAAGTATAAGAAATTCCTCTTGTAGGGATGACCACGGGCAAGAAATACTAAAGGAACTCTTTGCCACAGAAACACCCCAACAAAATAACAGCAATAAAGCCTTGCCTCTCAGTGATAACACTGAGTGTGAATGGTTTAAATGCACTAGCAAAGGCAAAAAGAGTAGCAGATTAGGGAAAACCCCACAAAACTCATCAATAGGTTGTTTACAAGAGACACACCTAACAGAAACAAATATTTAAGTCCAATAAGAATGGAGGGGGATATGCCAAGCAAATGGCAATCAGAAAAAAAAATCCGGTGTAGTAGTATTAATCTTTGATAAAAGAGATTTCAGAGTAAAAACCATCACAGGGGAAAAGGAAGGATACAGTATAATTGCTTAAAGGGTTAACAGAACAAGAAGACAGAAACGTAGTAACTATTTATGCACCAAATGATATAGCTACAAAATACACAAAGCAAGCATTAACAGAACTGAAAAAAGAAATAGACAACATCATGATAGCAGTAACAGACTTCAATACACCACTCTCAAAGAAAGATAACATGACCAGAAAGAAACTCAACAAAGATGCTGAATAATTAAACTATACAATTAACCAACTCAGTCTCACAGATATATAAGACTAGTGTAGCCTAAAAAAGCTCAGTATACATTCTACTCTAGCATGCACAGGAAATTCTCCAGAATATATTATATTTTATGTCATAAAGCAAAGCTCAATATATAACAAAACACTGAAATAAAGCAAAGCATCTTTTCAGACTACAATACTATAAAATTAGAAATCAACAGCAAAAGGATAAAGGAGAAAAATCCTATGCACCTGGAAGCTAAACATCACCCTGATTGAACATGAGTAGGTAATAGGAAAAAAAAGAAAAAGAAGAAGAAATTAAAAAGTTTCTTGAAACAAGGAAGAATGAAAAAAAATTATGAAAAACCTCTGTGATTCGGCAAAAGCAGTATGTAGAGGTCCATTTATAGCAATAATCAAGTTTATTACAAAAGAATGAACATCGACTATTTAACCCAACATATCTAACAAACAGAAAAAGAACATCAAGAAAGACTAACAACCTATAAAAGGAATTATGAAAATGATAGCAGAAATAAATGAAATAGAAAACAGAAAAATCTATTAACATGATCAAGAGTTTGTTCTTTGGAACGGTCAACAATATTGACAAACCACTGGCAAAGCTAATAAAGGAAAAGAAAGAAAAGATACAAATAATCCAAACAGGAAATGAAAGGAGCAACATCACAGCAGAAACAATTGAAATAAAAAGGCTAATAAAGGTATTTTATGAAAACTACACTCAAACAAATATGAAAATCTAAATGAAATGGATAAAGACTTAGGAACTTACAACTCACTCAAACTGACACAGAATGAAGCAGAACACCTTGAGAGACTCATCACAAAACAACAAACAGAATAGGTTATTAAAAACTTCCAAGCAAAGAAAGCCCTGGAGCAGATGGGTTTACTAGTGAATTTTACCAACTATTCAAAGAAGAGCCATCAACAATTCTCCATAAAGTATTTCAGAAAATATAAAAAGAATACTCCCAGTCTCATACTATGAAGCAAACATATTCCTGACAGTGTAAGGTCAGGTAAAGATACTACCAAATTAGAAAACTATAGTCTAAGATCTCTTATGAACATATATGCACAATCCTCAACAAAATCTTGGCCAATAGAATCCAACAGAATATCCAAAAATGTATTCATCATGGACAAGTGAGATTCGTAACAGGAATACAAGGATAGTTCAACATAAGAAAAACACTTAATGTAACCCATCACATTAACAAACCACAGAACAAGAACTACATGATCCTATCAATGGATGAAGAAAAGGCCTTTGACAAAATCCAATACTCCTTCCTGACTCAGTAAAATAGGAATATAGGGGAATTTCCTCAGCAAAGTGAAAAGAAT